GAGGCGAGGGGGAGGGGGGGGAGGAGGGGGAGGCGAGCCAGTGGCAAATGAAGCAGACACCGGATTGAGCTAAAGGAGGAGACACAAATGCTGCATCAGGAATATATATATTTACTGACCAGTGATGACAACAGTAGTGGTAGCAGTCTTGGCGGGGTGACGTGGCCGTAGCGGCGGGTTGCGAGAGGAGTTACGTACTGAAGCTGCCACAGCACTCCAAAGTCATCAAAGGAGGCGGAAGGCGAAAACAACCCAGGGAGGGAAAGTTGGGAAACCTTTGGAGCAGCCGATATGAAAGGAAAGTCTTGTAAGAAAAGCAAGGAAGGCCGCAAAGAAGAAAGTGTATCGGAAAGTGTAATGTGATGTAATCGGAAAGTCTACCCGAAGTGGGAGAGGGGGGAAGAGGGGGGGAGGGGGAAAACACAGCTGACACGGAGCAGTACGGTAACCCGGGGGGAGGTCACCTCTTGTGTCTGGGACCGCCGCCACCTGCTATGTACGACATGACGTGGGGCCTTCCTGGAGTTGAGGGGGTGGGGTGGGGATTACATCATCATTGTCGTCATCCTTTGTGCCATCATACTAACCCCCAACCACCACAACCACCGCCACAACCACCACGGCAACTACTCTGGCTCTGTTTTTACGTTCCCACAAACACGAGCATACACGAGCTCGGCTTCCGCATCTCCGCTACCTATACAGTCTATGTTTACGGCATGTACGGAACGTGTACGGGTGAGCTTATCTGACCGCAGGTTCTTAGAATCAAGTTCTATTTGGTGCCCTCAAGCCAGGCCGGCGGGGCGCGTGGGGCTCAGAGGTGTGTTCGGGCCGTACGTATGTATGTATGTATGTATGTATGTACACGAGAGGGAAAGGGGCCAAAAGCTGTTGCTGTTGTTGTTGCTGTGCTTTATAAAGGTTAAATAAAACCTTTGTCTAGTAGTGTGTGAACTAGTCTCCTTCCAAAACACCAACGACCTTCATACAAGACATAACAACAGACTTAACAACAGACAGACAGACAGACAGACAGACGTTACGGTTCACGTGTGCAGGGCCAAGGCCATGTCCGCCGGCCTCACCACCTGCTCCTCGTGCTGGTGGCTGCTGCGGCTGGGCAACATCTCCACCATCACCCGCGAGTGGACGGCGCTGCGTCACGCGCACCTGGTGCCGTTCATGGACATACTCATAAGCGGTGCGGCGGGGTGTTGCTGAAGGTTGTCTGGATGCGTGTGTGTGTATGTGTACGTGTGTATGTGTGTGTATGTGTATGTGTGTATGTGTATGTCTGTGTGTGTATGTGTATGTGTGTATGTGTATGTGTATGTATGTGTATGTGGGTCGGGATGGATGGGATAGGATCTGACTTGTAGGAGCGGGGCCTGTAGGTTCTGTTTGGGGGAGGGTCTCCATTGGTGTGGGGAGAGAAGGGGGGGAAAGGGGGGGGAGGGGGAGGAGGGTGTTTTAGGGTTTTGTTTCCTATCTCCATGTGCAGCTTAAACAGGTAATGGACATGCATACATACATACTTACTTCCTCCTGTTGATGCTGTCTGTTCTCCCGCATCTAGCCCCTCTCCCCCTCCCCCTCCCCCTCCCCTTCCCCACGGGTGCCCCCACCTCACATACATACATACGAACATACATACATACACACACAC